TTTTTTCCCAATAACCCCCCCACACACACTTGTTCTGTGTGCTGCAGTTATTTAATTTTAGCTACAGGTTAGCATTAAGCCCGGACTACAATTTCTTTAGGACAATGTTTATGTCTACACATGGCACTTCATCGTGCCATCCTGCATTACCAGTTATTAAGATTAATAATTTATATTATTAGTAGCAACATTTCTATTATCACTTGTTTTACTCTGTATCTATATCATCACGTAGTTTTTTGCTTTATTCACCATTAAAACAACCCATCCCATCTTGTAAGATTTGCTATTTTCCCTTCTCATTCATCGTTATTTATAACTAGATATTTTGAATATTTATTCTCAAACAATCTGTCTATCCAGCTGGAGTTGGCACCCCCATTTAATTTTCATTTCAGAGTAGTGTCACTGTCAGCCACACTCTGGGTCAGCTCGAATACACTGAAAATGACAACTACAACAAGCAAAACTGTCATGATCCAACAGGGACACTATTAATGATTCAATTTTAAAAAAACAGAAAGAATTTAATGGGCAGAAGGGATGTGGTAAACAGGAGACTGCAAACTTTAAAAAAAAAAGAAGAAAATCTGCATCTACTGTAAGGAAGTGAATTAATTAAAACACCAAAAATGCCTGAAAAGGAACAAATCAGTTTGGACAGCTTGGCTAACAGTACAGTCTTATTCCATATACACTGCAGATGTTGTGAAGCAAATTGGTATTTTGAAGTATGGCAGCAGAGAATTAAAATTGAAAAATAGGAGAATAACATCAATATTATGCAATTACTGTGTGCCTGTGGTGGGGAAAGCGGTCTGCAGAGAGTTAAGGGAACAAAACTGCAGGAATGTAGAAAGTTTTACAACTAATGGTTTAATTTCTCTGGAAAGCTGAAAGACACACATTCCAGAGACAATTGTACACACAGAAAAATGGAAAATTAAGGATTGTCTATGGAATGTGAACAGAACATAGGAAAGAATGGAAGAACTGTAAGGATATACAGTTAATGGGAATGTAGTTTCCTCCAAGCTTCAGGATGCAATATGTTTCCAAATAATTTCTGTACTGTTCCAAGGGGAAATAGAGAGTTCCCCTTTCCCCTGCATCCCCATTCATTTCCATTCCTTCATGACCCATGAATAGCACAACTTTTCCTCTGAAAGAGAATTCATTCAAAACCTACTGATGATCAATGCTGAGGAAGTTGCTATTCACAACCTCTAAGGAAGAGATTGAGCAGAACTGCTGGACAGGAGTGAATTCTTCCTTCCTTGTAATGGCTATGTCAGAATATGTTGTCAAGAATGACATAAAACTGCTTTTTGTTTTGTCTGGACACAGATTTCTCAGAGGCTCTTTAGAAATTATGTTAAGCTGCAACCATGAATGTGAAATGAGATTTAAAACCAAATCCACTTCTGTCCTCATAGGAAAGAATGGAAAACTCCTCAAGTTCTGACACCAGGAGCAAAATAATAATTTTTTTTCTATTAGAAAAGAGAAATCTGAAGGAAAAGATATCACAGCAATTAAAATGTGTGTGTGTGTGTGTGTGTCTCTATAGGTAGAGATATACATGAAGGTTATATCTAAAAATACATTAAAATAATGGCTGGGGTTTGGATGTTCGAATTCCATGAAGATAGTTTCCATCTAGAAGTTTTGATTCACCTATCCTAAACATCTAGAGTCAAAACAACAGGCATTGGTTTTACTTTTGGCCTTCTCCATGACAGGTCATGAGGCTAAAGATTGGTGTTAGTACATTTCATTGACAGATAAAAAAAATATCACCTTAGAGAAAATTATGTCCTAGACACAAGAAAATATTGTAATAAAATATTCTGAGGGAGATTAAAATGGAAAAGTCTGGATTTAGAAACCAGGAAAGAGGAAGAAGTGGAAATAGAATTAAATGCAAGGGGGTTTTTGTGTGTAGTTTCCTAGGGATGCACAAAAAAATCTGAATTGGAGTTATTCAAGAGCTAATGCTTCACATCAAAGAATGATAACTAAATAAATTTATAAGGTCAACCTTGCACAGCTGTTGTCTGAAAAAGGTGAAATGGTGTAGGATATTCCCTTAAATAAAAGCTCTTATGGACAATTAGCATAGGCAGTATAGGCAGATCCTCAAATGAAACTGAAAAAGAGGGGAGAGGAATACAAGAAAAAGCCTTGACAGGGGCAATGTAAAATCAGGTACAAGGCAAAACTCACCAGAACAACAACAACAGTTATCCCAAAAGGGCTGAAATCCAGCAAGCAAACAAGGTATCCTATTCTGAAGGAGATGGGAGGGAAAGCCTGAAGAAATCAGCGTTCATATCATGTTGTGGCAGCAACAGAAACATTCTTTTAGACCCTTCAGGGATCTCTTTTTTTATCTCTCTTGGAGGATACTCTTCCCAGGCTTTGCAACACATCTTTATGTTTTCTGATTCTTCTTTTTGAATTAACTGAGTGTTAGTCTACATTTTGTTTTCCAGCAACTATTCCTGTGTATTTGAAAAAAATGTATTTCCCTTCCGTAGTATCCAGGGCAGTCCCAAAACTATAAACCATGAGTGGAATCAGGTTATAGGCAAAACAAGTTGGAAAAATCACACGTTTAGGTCTAGGTCCCAAGATTACCAAAATCAAGAGAGCTTAATTTATTGCCACTGAGGCAGTGGGATATTCTAACTCTGAGATACATCTCTCACATTCTCTGGGTAAGTGTCTAAGCTTAGACCAATGTTTATTTTCATACTAGTGAATCAGATGTTACTTCATCCTTAATTCTAATTTATGTTGCTTCAGAATGGAAAGAAGGCATATGTAATAAAATCACTGAGAGCTAAAAAGAGAGTAGAGGGTGTTTCCTCTTACCTACTCTTATAGCTGGCTACACACCCTTTCTGTCAGACACATTGCTTCTTCATGTTTATATCTTTTATAAATTTACATCATGAGTTTGAGCCATTGGCCAGATGCCTCAATATCAAATCTGAAAGGATGAACACAGTTCTATTGAGACTTTTCAGAAAAATATGTTAAATAATATCTTCCTTAATAAACACATACAAAACACTCCCTGCTGAAGCTATAAAACGTCCCAGTAAATGTCAACACTGGTGTTGGCCAGGTGTGCTCAGCAGCTGAAAACCAGGCCTCTGGAAACACCTTTATTGGAACTGCTCCCAAAGGAAGCATTTACCAGAGAAGTACTTTTTCTTAATAGGAAACGAAAACCCTCTTCAGAAGGATTACTGCATTCCTTTACTGATGAAATATATTCTTCCTTTGGTGACACTCTAAAATTCAAGGCTGACTGATAAAGTTAATGCAATAAGCATGAATATAGGGAGGAAAGATGAGAGACAGGGAGGGTGGAGTGAGAACAGATAAAATTCAATTTCATGAATACCAATATATTGGTATATGCATACATATCTACCAAACAGAAATAGAAAATGGAATGAGTTTTGCATCTTGTTGAAACTGCTGGGGAAAAACCTTAACTGCATTAAGCATCAAAATATGAAGGAAAGGAGGGGATTTTTAACGGTGTCAAGTCTGAAGGAGCTATAGGACACACAATACCATCTCCTAGAAACATCATTGCTATTTTTGTGTCCAAGGGGCTAATCCAGTATTTATAATTATAAAATCTAGATGGAATAAAACTGTGACTGAGAGTGTTCTTCTGACTGTGAAACTGAAAGGACAGAACAGAGATAAATCATGAAGGAAGGCTTGGCCCAAGCAAGGAGCAAGGTGCTCCATTTAGATACCTCTCTGAACATTTTGGCCATGGCCATTCTGACTCAGATAATGTAGAAGAATGGTAGGTGACAATAAACTAATGGCCCCTTTCTTATGCCCATGTAATGAAGTTATCTCCTGCCATGGCAGTAATTAGCACCACAGTCAGTGTCATCCATCCATTTAAGATCCCTGATCTGTATTTTAGGCACAGTCAGAGAAAATGCAACTGTATTGGTTTCAACTAGTTTTTAAACTGAAGCTCCCTTCCATCTATGCTAGAAAAAGGTTTAGGTGGACTGATGTAGTTTACATGAGGTGCTGCTTTACCTTGTTGGATACTACATACAAGAAGAACAGGCCTGTAACACTGCTTTTTCAGTCTTTGTGGTTGTAAAAGATGAACAAGATCTATAAGATCTGATCCAGAAAATAATTACAATTTTGGAAAAAAACCAAATTTTACATGTGACTTCAGGCAAGCAATCAGGCAAATGAAGGGAGTGGGAGAAAAAAGCTAATATTCTTCTAATAGATAAATGTTTTCTTAGCTGTTAATGAATATAATCGCAAAAAAAACAGAGCTTAGAAGTCAGCTAAAAATGGGACCTCTGATTTTATAAACAGTTCTATAATTTGTTGCTTCTCTTTGTTTTACACTTTTTAAATTAGTTATGTTCCTACAAAACCCACATTTCAGAGCTTACAGAAGAATATATATATAAACCAGTCAATCCTACATTTCCTTGAAGTTGTTCCTTATTCCTTTATTGTTTATTGGCATAATCAACAAAAAGCCCCTTAAAAGTATGTTTCATTGGACAGATATTTGGTTAAAAAAATATATGAGAAATGTAACAAAATATCCTTTAAGGATTTTGTTTCAACTAAACTTTTGCTAAGTCTCTACCACTTTGTCAGGGGATGGCTGGGGAGCTCATCACCCACTGATGACACGGTTGATAGGGAAGAGATAGAGTGGCTCAGTGCGTTTTTGGTTACAAATTGGACTTAAACTCGAATTTTCCAGGAGCAGAGGAAGGTCAGAACTATATTGGAGGCCTCCAAGGACTCCAATCAGCCCTTAATTTTCATCTAATTCCTTCAGACTGTGGGGGGAGAGTGAAGGACACCCTTGATCTTATATTTTCTCCCGTGATTTCTACGGTCTCTGGGAGGCCAGAGCATGACACCAACACTTGATCCCTAAGGATCACCTGAGAAACGGTATCCAAAGTTTTATTGAAATGTCCAAAGATTTGACGGGAAGCCAAGTGGCCGGAGCTGTGCTGGTGCTGCGGTGCCACTCGTCAGACTCAGGGGGAGGCCCAGCCGGCAGGGCAACGTCCCACGCAGAGGTTCTGCAGCTCTGCCCCTGTGTCCTTCATGGTCACAGGCTTGTCCTACCAAGGCTGGCCGTGGCAGTGGCTGGGGCTGCCCACTTGGGCAAGAGACCCCCAGGGAGCTCCTGCCCGCTGGCTTTGCAATTGGGGTGCTGGTGGCCAGAAGCAAGTGCTGCTGAGGGGAGCGGTGTGAAGGCGGGGCCTTGTTGGTTGCATGACTCTGGTGTCTCTGGCGGCTGTGACGTCACAGAGGACAGGTCACAATGGGAGCTGTCCCTAAGGACAACAGCGGGCAGCCCCAGGGCAGTTGGACTTGGGCGATCAGTGAGTGCAGATGCAGGGGGAAGGCTGGGATGGATGGGGGATGGGGATGATGCCCAGGGGGGTTTGTAGCCCCGAGGGAAAGCTGAGTCCCTCCCAGCAGGGCCCAGTTGTGTCCCTGGGGCCTGGTACGCAGCTGCTCAGGGCTCTCTGTGGTGGCAGGGGCCCAAAGAGGCTTTGGGGATGGGCCGGCTGCCCCTGACTCCATGGGATGCCATGGTGTGGCAGGGATGGGGTCTTGGGAGGCTCTGCTCGCGTGTCTCTTGCCTTTTACCGGGGCACAGCCCAGCCAGGGGCTGATAAGGAGGCTCCAGGCAAGGGTAGGATGGACCCTGTGCTGTCTGCAGCCAGGCACTGCCTTCCCTTCAAGCCCTCGATCCCCATGCTCCCTCCCACCCCGAACCACTGAGCTAACTTGTCTCCCATCTCCTGCAGGCCATGGATTCAGCACTTGTGCTCCTCCTGGCTGTGCTGGCCGTCCTGCCCAAGCCGACCCACGATCGCCCGAGCGATGCAGTCGCTGCGGAGCGGATGAAGAGACGGCAGATGTTTTTGGAGCAGAAGATGAGCGAGCTGTGGGAGGAAGTTGAGTGGAGGAGGGCCCTGGAAAAAGTTCCACTCCTGTGGATCTTGCAGCACTGGCTCTTCTGGGTGGCTGCAGCAGCTGTGCTCTGCTGGCTGGCCTGGCGCCGTCAGCGGGACAGCTGGCGAGGAGAGGAGGAAGAAGAGCTCGGCGCAGCAGCCGGGGCTGTCAGGCCTTTCCCGGAGCTCAGCCGGTCACCGCTGCACGAACTGCCCTACATGGGCCGCACCCTGAAGAAGCTGGTGCGGGACCTGCTGGAGGTGTGCCAGGTGCTCTCCCAGAACACCTTCATGCCAGAGCTGCACCCGGCCACCCAGAAGCAGGGCACCCTCGAGTCCTGGAGTGACCTGGGGCACCAGATCATCTACCAGCTGGTCGTCTTCCTCAGGCCACCCCCCAGGCACTCTTTCCAGCTGCAGCCGCCCAACGGCAGGAATGTGCCAGAGAGGTGCTCCAACATCCGGGTGGTGCTGGAGTGCTCGTGCTCCAGCACCACGGGGGAGACGCTGTGCTTTGTCCACCCCACGCACGACGCTCAGCCCTCGCGCCTGCTA